ATTGTATTTTAAATTTATTTTTTGGACATACATGTATATAAATTTCTTTTATATCTCTCAGCTTTCTTATAACATTTTTATAGATATATAATTACATAATATTTCTTTATACAAATATATATTTTTAAATTAATTTAATATTTTTAATATTTTAATATTTTTCCTAATATTTTTCTACATTTTTTCTTTATTTTTCAATATATTTACAATTTATTTTTATTAATTTTCATAAAGTTTAAATTATTTTATCGCAATATTAGATTTATTCGCGTTGCATGCTCTAATGTGTTCCTACAATAACACTTACTCACTTCAACAAATTTGTTGGATTGCGATGCGAATAAATCTAGTGAATTTTGCGAGAAATTTTGATAGAGTTAAAAAAGGATGAAAAGAGAAAGAAGTTTAGGTGGTAATCGTGGCAACGCTAGGTAATTTATTTATTTCACGCATGCGCACTCCATTTTCGCCAACATAAAATCAAGAGAGTTGCGCTACTGTGGCGTTACTGTATATATTGTGGTAGTACTGAATGCACCCATTAATTGATTAATGCACCCAATGACGTGAATGTCGTTATGGCTGCTCCAGTAAAGAAGCGTGAAATTCAGCAAAAGTTGCATGACGATGACGAGAACCACATTTCGTCCAGCAGTGAGGACGAGGAATATGAGATCGCAAATAAGCAGGTGAGACAGATCCGTTTACTTATGAGATATGTCTTAATAATCAAGCGATTAACCTCGCTCAGCAAACACGCGGTCATGTTCTGCTATCGATCTATTAATTTTATTATTTATAGCAATTTCGACTGTAGCGGGTTTTAATCCGATTCGAGTTGGTTTAATAATGCCACAAACTTTACTATTAGTAGAGCATGTTAAGCCCAATCTATAATTGTGTAAGTGTAGTTAATAAATGGTTGTAATTGTAAGAATTGCCTGATCACAGTCGAACATTTTCCTTACATTTGATTATAATTGGTTAATTCTTACAACTATGCTTACGTAATTGTAGAATGGATTTAACATCAACTAATAGCAAAACATTAATCCAATCCAGGTTTATTTAAAGAGTTCGTCCAGTGGGGTACCAAGCAGATGTTAGGCTAGGTTTCAGAATCATCATCTGGATGCATCCGGACGATGATTCTAGCCTCATCCACAAGTCACACGGGCTGTGTTGCATGTCGTATGAGATTTAGTGCGTTTAGCGGATTCGTCAGTTGAATGAACGCTTTCTGCTACTGATGTATTCTTCTAGATCTAAAAGTCTGATTGAATAATCTAGAAGAACACAATAACAGCGAACACTTACTCAATTGTTGAATCCAATTGCTGAACGTAGCCAATGTCACAGGAATACTGTTTCTAATCATATGGTTGTCGCAAGAGCTCTTGTTATAGAGAGTTGAATTTGATTAAACTCTGTACAAAAGCTCTACGACAACATAGGACTAGAAATAATATTTCTGAGACATTGGCTATCCGTGCAACTATTGTAGATGAGGCTTTCTGAATGCAGTCTTGCAGTCAAAATTGCTATTAGTTTGTTTTAGTTCATCTAAATGCAAGATTAATCTAATGCAAGATGTCATAATACATTATGACATATATGCGAAAATCATTGTTGAGGTAATTTCATGCAGGTGAAAGCCTCTGTCTATATGTTATTAATTTCCATTCAATATGAAAAATTGCTGCTCAATAGAAATATTGTCAATTCTATAATTTTTAATATTTTGTAAAGATTCTATTTCAGGAAAACTGAGAAAAATATTTTTACGAAATTTTTATGAAATGTGATGTAAAAGTTTTAAATTCTACATTTATTTTTAAAGATACTTATCTATCTTTAGGGTTGCCACATCAAAATTTTCATAACTAGAATTTACAGGCCAAAAATCTGGGACATCTTGCTTGAAACTCCAGACACATATTAAAATGCATGTAGGTTGATCAAATTGATCAGAACAGTAAACAAACAATTATTTCATATCTAATTGTTCATTAGTGTTACTAATTGAACGTAAAAGATTGACCAATCATATATTGCAATTATATATAGTTGATTATTCTCACATTCAACTGTGATTGATCAATTTCTTATAGCTAAAGAATTACTACAATTACTTATTATAAATCAATAGTAATACAGAATAAATCAGAAGAAGAGTCAAATGGTCTGTTTATGTTGAGGTCCCCAAATATTTTTGTACTTAAAATAAAATAGACATATATATATATATACGTTGAAAAGAGAGAAAGCAAAGATGTTGAGTGCGAAAAGTGTGTGCGAACAGGCCTAAAGTAAAAAATTTAAAAGTTGAAATTTTCCTAAAACCACACACATACAGACACTCATAATTACCCCAGTCTCAAGATATCCTAAAAAAAGAGAATAGTGAGGGGGAAAAAGCGTATGGATGGCAATTCTATCTATATTATACATTTTCTTGCCTATATTATATGAATTATTTTCATTATCAAATCTTTGTTGAATTAGTATTGTCAAACAGTAATAGAAAAGAGTATTAATATTTAATAACTTCATCAATCTGATATTTTTGAGTAGAAGTAGAAACAATATACTTTTGGTAAGTTTAGATTTTTGATGCAGTGTATGTATACATGTAATAATAACCTATATATTTATTAATGATAACAAATATGACATGCAAGTTATATTTTTTCATTCTGTTAATTTCTATAATCAAATTATACTGATTTGTATCAAGTTAGACTTATTATTTATGTCTATTGCATTGCAGATAGTATGCAAGAAATTGTAGGAAAAATTAATAAAATAATATATTTCTAAGAATATTTATTAATTATTAATATTGCAATAATATTTGAATACTGCAGTAGTGTTGAGGAATGGATATATATATATTTATTTTGTGTATTTAACTTTTTTTTAATATATATTACACGATATTATACAAGAGTAATACACAATAGCAGTTCAGAATTATCTTTCATATTTTTTAAGCAAATTATTAAGATTGTGAATATGATCACAGTAGGAACAGCAAATTGTAAGGTAACTGGATCATATATACTCCTAAGCTTTGCAATTTTTTTCTAATTTTGTGAGCTGAAAATTGAGAATTAATGATCAAATTAAAAAAAGGGAACATTTTTCTGTAAATATAAAAAAAATATTTTCAAATATTTATATAAGTGCAGGAAAGATTTAAAAAAAGCAGCATTTCGCGCATATTGGGTACATGTGTATTCAATATCATCCATGTACATGTTTTCTTTTTTTCATACGAAAATATTAGAAACATGGAAAGTAAAGATTCGCGACTTTATTTTTATAAGTTTATAAATTTATTGCACACAAACATACTAATATATAAAAATTTTTTTAATTATTTTTTTTGGACATTTATATAAGATATTATCATTCATTTGACATTTCACATATGAACATATTACATCCTAATCTTTTTCTCTTAATAAATAAAGGTTGTAAAGATTATAAATATCTTTATACTGATATAAAAGAAAGCTATTTTTGTCAGCGTATTCATAAAACAATAATAACTTAATCAAACATTATTGAACATGTTAATTTCTCCCTTTTAAAACTGTGCTTATGGTCATAATTCAAACAAGTAAAACGCCCTTTGTGTCATTTTGTGTCAGTTAATCCCACACAATTTTCATGAACATATGTTACAATACTTATGCATAACTCTCATATCTTTCTGAGATATATTTCACAGTCTGTATTCTGTACATGACTACCGATAATTGTCGGTGTCAATAATTAACAAGAACGATCCTGAGAAAAAACTGCGGTTCTTGATCGTCGTTACTTAATGATACTGACAACTGTCGGTAGACGTGTACAGAATACGAGCCCAGAACCATAATTCTCTCAAGACTCGCTTTTGAGACTCCTGTTTTTTTTTCTCATTTTTTTGATTGCTTTAGATGAAGCACTTAAAGCAGATGCTTCTTTTAGAGAGGAAAATAATTCTTTCTGTATTGATTTCACTAGGTGAAGAGTTCCTTTTGTTTAATTATAAATGAAACGTGATAAAAATATAAATTAAATAACATATGTTATTGAAAGTTAAAATACAGAGCTACATAAACTACTGAAAGTAATAACTACATTTGATAACTCTAGAAAGCAATTGTTTATGTTTAAATAACGAAATGAATAATATGATTTATAAATTGATACAATCATATGGATTATCTGCATGAGTTACTACTACTATCTGTTGAATTAATCCTATAATTACCTATGAAGAGTGAATAGAGCATTTTGAGTATAGATCCAGATTGAGTCCGGTTACTTTATTTTATCTTTTTATCTTTACGATATAGAAAAGTATTTGAAGAAAATATTAATCTAAGCCGTGTAATTACCTACGAATTAGTATAAAATTAATATAAAATTTATGTATAGCGTAATTTCTTTCTAATTTGTTTAGAGAAACGTTAAGTAATAAGACGCATAGCATATTTTATTGTCATATTCTTATCAAAGTGGGAAAATGTGATTTTTTAGTCAAAGTACAACATTTCTGTATAATTTAAACTATATCAAACTTTGTCGATACATCAGCATCATGTAACATATCGTCAAACTGACGTTCATGAATGTTAATTAATTTTTTTGAAGTTTAATTATAAGTTATAATTAACATTATATATTTGCTTCATAAAACTAGATAGTGCAATATTGTAATAAGTATAAATTTTAGGGGATAGAGTTTCAAGTGGATTTTGAGGGTCGCAATCCACAAGATCCAGACTATCATGGAATTAAAACATTACTGCAACAACTTTTCCTTAAAGCACACATTGACTTGGGTGGATTGACGGATTTAATAATTTCTCAAAATTATGTAGGATCAGTCGTTAAACAATCTGAAGAAATTGATGAATCTGATGATGATGAGGATAGTAATGACATCAATGATGTATTTGGTATTACAACTGTCATTAATGTTTCTGATAAACAGGTAAGTAAAATTGATAATGATATATAATCATTATCAAATCGAGAAATTTATTATTAATATTTATCTGTCAATTTATTTATTAAAAAAGTTAATTTTTTGTAGAACATTTTGTGTATACAACAATTGAGACATCTATTGAAACAGCTAGCAGATGAACACGCAACTGATGCAGTTAATACTATGATAAAAAATGTACTGGAGAATGACGCAGCGCAATTGGGTTTGCTCATTAATGAGAGATTTGTTAACATTCCCGCCAAGATTTCAGTACCACTTCTTGAAAACCTAATTTCCGAATTGAAACGTGCCAATAACAGAAATATGCCATTTAATTTTTCCTATTACATACTTATATGTAAATTGTACAAGTCAGAAGATAAAAGAGCCGGGAAAAAGGCGAAAAGTAAGAATAGGAACAGTACTGAACCATCAATATTGTGGAGTAATTCAGAAGAGGAGATCTTTGCGGAAGAAGCAATTGTTAGTTTCGAATTTTCTGTCGAAGAAGAAGCGGACAGTGGTTTATCCGGAACGTGGACTGAAACAGACGACGAGATGATACCTTATAGACGAGTACTACTTTTTGAAGCTTCAAAATTGCAATCAATATTTGATAAAATACAGAATCAGTTTTCTTAATTAATTTCATAAATTGTGCTAACATTTTCTTAAACGAACGATATGGCTGACAAGAGAAGTTCGATAAGTGTAAAATAAAAAAAATCTCTCTTTACATAAGTTTAGAATAGATAGAGCTAATAACGAACAATTTTTTTTTATACTTAGATTTATATATTCGAGAGATGTCGTGTGAAAGTGACAGACTCATGATTAACAAATCGCGAGTTTAAACCCCACATCCGTATATACGCAGAAGAATTTTGTAATCCGTACTGACTTAGCAGGAGTCGAAGAGGAACTCTTTAGATCTCTTTGACATATAGGGACTGATGATTCTATCCATACTCTCCAATACTATTACTTGGTTCATCTACTTTAAACTTATATAAAGTTTGTTTTTTATTTTACATTTATCGAACTTATGAGTTCCTTGCAAAATTTCCTATTTATGAACGGAAAATGTACTTCTCATAGATAGATTTTTTTATATATCTATATATATATAACGTACATTATATAATATAACGGTACATAAAGCTTATAATATAACTTTTACATAATGCTTATATTATAAACTATTTCTAGAATTTAAAGAATTTCGCATATGGTTCCTTTTCATTCTTTTATTTTTATTTCTCTTAACATGAAAGTTACAAAATATTTGCAAAATGACCATCAACTTAGAACTCGTCTGACTTAAGATTTTATAATAGTATAAAATTTACTTTTACAGTCGAATAAATAGATTTTATGCAAATTTAGGTTGAGCAAGGCAGATCTATAAGACAAAATATACACATAATATAACAAATATCGCGTACTGTCAAATAATATTGTATAACTTGTCAATTGTTTATATAAAATTTGTCAAATTTTTGTTGGAATTACAAATGTATCCATTCAAACAATTCTCATTATGACGCTGTGTCTGCAAACTTTAATGATTGTCTTATTGGCTTGGCTCTTCGTCTCATAGTACCGAGAATATTTAACATTTCAGAAACTGCTGGCGGCTTACTTTCTGCTTCTTGTCGTCTTTTCCTCTCTTCTTCTCTTTGTTTCTGAAATCAATGTCTTACTCAAATATGCATGTTAAAATCGAGCAAAAGAAATATTGCATTTCGTTTAAAAACAAATATCATTAAAAAACAAAAGACATACGGATTAAAAAAATGTTTGAGAAATTAATGATACTTTAAACAGCTTTATAATGTATTCTAAATATTTATATAATTTAACTTACATCTGTTTGTTTTAAAGTGAAACGTCCGCCTTTAATTTGATTAATAATATCATCGATAGCTGAAAATCACATACATATGGTACTGCATTGTATAACTTTTATACATTTACAATAAAACAAAACAATTCATGATCGACAAAATGGTATAAGATTGTGCATAATTACCAGGTTGTTGCGCAACTGTAGGTGTTTTTTTCGGCGTAATACCAAGCATATTTTCCATATCGCTTACAGCTGAAGTCAATTTTTCTTTAGTCAACAATTTTATTGATGATTGGCTAATCGTCAACATCGGTGGTGGTGGAGGTGGTGGCGGTAATGGTGGCGGTTGCGGTTTTGAAACTTTCTCATCTAACTCTTTGATTTTCTGTTTTAAGCAATGTATAACATTTTCCAACTCTTCCACCGATTTCTCCGCCCTTTCGGCTCTCTGAACAACTACTTCTAACTCTGATTCCGCAAGCTTTAATTTTTCTTCGACAATTTCAAATTCTACATTCGATTCTTTCTCCTCTAATTTCTCCTGTAACATCTGTATTTGAGAAGCATGATTTTGCTGTTCTTCTTCTAATAGCCTCTTTAAGGATTCCACCTCTTGCAAAACGGTTAACAATCTTCCATTCGGATCGTCTCCGACTCCGGCCATAAGAAGAGCGCTTTGATGCGCTAAGATGTTTCGTTCTTTCTGGACCTAAACAAATAGCCGGCTATAATCAGCGCAATATATGAAAGTGACTTCCATTTTTAATGCTCTTCCCCAGATCTTATTTTCTTTTCGCACATCGTTAAAAAGTAAAAAAAATGCGATTTTTTATTTTAAAATAATCTAAATAGTATGAACAATTTTTAATACTGTCCGACACAGATTTTATATCACGAATTGGACAAAGTAATTCTTACAAATTTTTTTCGCTGAAAATGAATTCATAAATGAAATTGCTCATGTTACGTTTCGAGAAAATCGATCCTAAATATGCCGAAAATTGCATTTTTAGGTATTTTTGAACCAATGTACCTTAAAAATGTAATGTGTGATAGAATAATTTCATATACGAATTTCTGTTTTAAATTCATAGATAAATAACTCTTTGAAGACCGCTTATATACAATTTTACTAATCACTTTCATGTAATAATTTGTAAGGTTGCTGATTATGAATCTGAAATCAAAATTATATATAATTTAAAGAATTAACAAAAACTTGATTTGAATGAAAATAATAACACTATGGATTCTATAGAAAAAATGCATATAAGTAGGGCATTGCATTATTTTTCCTTATTTGTTGGAAAAAAAAATACAAGTTTTCAAAAGATTACATTTATCTACGGATAAATATGATCTTTTGAGGACTCCTCTTATCATTGTAACTGTTATTTTTTTGCATAAAGCAGCCAGTACAATAGATGAGTTTTTATTGCTGAAAATGTATAATAATTAAAATTGCTCTATCACGTCACGTTTTTTAAATTTTATGTCAAAAGTATCTAAAGAAGTTATTTTTAGCATTAGATTCAATTTTTTTCGAAAACGTAGCATTATAGAGCAATTTTATCTACAAATTCTCAGCGACAAAAATCTGTAGATCTTACCTGTAGTGTATAAAAAAAAGTTTAGAGAATATCTAAAAATGACCAAAATTGGTCGTGAAAGGACACTTTTAAAATTTATGCAGTTATCATCTTGAAAATCCATACATTCATAAAAGAAAGCTTTTTTCCCAGAAAAGCTTGAAAAACCTAAAAATAATAAAGTAGGTTGTTTGAATGCTTTGCAAAAAATTCATTTTGTTCGAAAATTGAATCTGGTAGGCAAACATGTTTTAGATAAAAATTGTATGTGCTTAAAACGAGACAAATAATGTAAAATCAATTAAAAAAAAAAAAGATTTTTTAAAGGGTTAAATCGGTGTGACTAGCCATAAAAATAGATAATTTTTAAGCGTATATTGCCGAAGAAATAAAAAAAAAAGCTGCAGACTTGTATTTTAGTACCTTATTCAAGTACACCTTGAAGGTAAAATATGCAAAATGAAAGGAAAAATAATCTTACACCATTTATTAAAATGTTATGAAAGATCAATTTTTTTGCATAAGTCATTGGTGTCGATGATTCTGCTATATTGGATGGTATGAAACAAAAACAAAAAAAATATTTCTGAAGTGTATTGTATTTCCTAAGCATTGACCGAGCTTATTCAAAATTTATTAAAATTTGACTGAAAAAAAATTTTTTTAACTTTTGGTTTGACTTTTGGCACGCACAAATATTGTTAATTAATTTATTAGTATCTTGCAAAATAATAATGATATTGTAAAAATCCTCGATCAATTCTTATAGAACACTATAAGGATAATAAAAAAAACCAAAATTCAAGTGAATCTGATGAGTACATCCTGAGAAACCTTCGACACCGTTTTAAAAAACAAGGTTTAAAAAAAACGCATTTAAAGTTCTACAACATAATCTTTATATCATATAGTGCAAATTTTGTAGGTTTTGTTACTCAGAAACTAACTCGAATTTATACTTAAAATCTTTTGCTCCATATTCTACAGGTTTCAATCTACTTTTTAAAGCAAACAAAATTTTTTCAATTTTTTTAAAATTTTATACTAGTGTGATCCCTTAAGGTGAGATCCACTTTTTTTAAATGGAATAATATAAATTTTTTATGATATGTGATAGGACTCCTTTAAATATTCTATATATATAAAAGTGTTAAAATAGATATATGTCAAAGAACCGATAGTTTACGAGATATTTAATTTCATATTATTTCATATTGATATGTACTAAAATAAAATGTAAAATATTTCGTGAATTATTATTTTTTGTATATCTCTACCTTAATGTTTATATGCAAAATAATTAAAGGAATCATATTATGTAAAAAAATCATATCATTTTATTAAAAAAAGTGGATTTTACTATTATTTATCCCCTTTTAAGCCTACAAGCATACAATTTAAGCATACAATTTTATCAGAAACATTTTTGCTTACCGGGGTTCGGGTTTGCTTTTCAGTTTTCGATATATTTTGGTGTTTTGTTTTGGATAGGATATCCTGTACATTTGTGTATCTCCCTGGTAATGTATTCTTACAGTATTGAATGGTCCAACATGTGTTAAATGTAAACACACCATTTCGAAATCTATGTTCATTTGTAACAAAATGAATTCTTTTTCAAAGTGTTCAAACAATCTACTTTATTATTTTGAAAAGGTTTCCCAAGCTTTCTTGGATAAATAAGCTTTTTTTCATGAATGTATGGACTTTCAAGATGATACCTGCATAGAGGCATTTTAAAGGTGTCCGTTCACAGCCAAAATTGGCCATTTTTAGATTTTTCCTTTGTC